AGAGAGATTTTATATCAACATCACCCAAATTGAATTTGTGGCAAAATTTTGTCTATATGAGGTTTTTATTTGATTCTTTAATTCATTTCATTTCCTGAATTTAGATTCAATTACGTGTTCTTCCTTTTAAAAGTATTCTGTTGGCCATGCTAGAATAGCTCCTCCCGTGATGGATGTAAATATTAATGAAATCTCTGATCTGGTATGTAGACATTATTGAACATTTACAACACAATCTGAACTTGTATTTGCTTCCAAGCCCTGGAGAAAACAAACTGACATCACTGATGTAACCATTCAGGCCATTACTTAACTGTTCTGGTGAGAATCTTGGGGGGTGGTGGAGAGGGAAAAGGATTAGGATGATGTGAGTTTGAGCTGAGGGAAGCATTGGCCTGGATTTGTAGTTGGTCTCCTTCAATATAAGCTTTATTATATAGCTTATAATATTATTCTGTTATTCTGTAATTCTATAATTCTATTACTGTATTGTATAATTTTTTTTTGAGTGAGGTTGAAATTAGGTTTGTATTGAGAGGGACTGTTCTTTTCTAGAAAAAGTAAATGGGTGGAAATCAATATATTTAAATTTAATTTTATCTGTTCTTTTCAGAGCAATAGGACATTACATTCTTCTCTCTGCTCCCTCAAGTCAAGGGCTGGGTAGCATGCAATAAATCCTTGCATCACAACTATGTGGACTGAATATATGGAAAAAAATCACATCCTTAAATTTAAGACTTGTGCTGACATTCCAGTACCTAATGATATTTATTTAGCATTATTTCTACTGGTATGAATAACAGGAAAAGGGTTAGAGGGTTAGACAAAAAAAAAAAAAGCAGCACACACAGTGTCATGTGTGTATGTTATGGTATTACAGCTGAGCCTTCGTAGCATGGGTTAGATTTTGGTGCAGTTTTCTCAAAATAGGGAAACTCCACAGGATTCCAGAACAATGGATATGAACATGTAGAAGCCCAAGCATGGGAAGCCACCTCTGTTTCTACATTTTCCTGTTTCACAGTCCATTTTCTGTATGTAGTTGTGTTAAATTGTGATATTTATCTCAAGGTGTTTTGGCATTTCTGAACTGGTTGTCCTCCAAATAACCAACTGATGGCAAGGGCAGCAGAGAATCAACCTATATGGAACAGGAGATGTGGAAACTAGCACTAGGACAGGGAACAGAGGATGACAGAAGCCTTAGCTGTATTACCACATGGAGCATGAGAAGAGGCAAAACATCTGGGAGGTGAGTGAGTGATGAGAGAGGTACATTGCTGTTTTCTCAGTAAGGAACAAAATTTCCTAATAATTTGTCAAGCTTTAGCTTTTCAGGCTGAAATTCATTACTACATCAAAGTAAATGCCTTGCTGCTAACAGAATAAACGTCTCTATTTAGAATGTAAATGAGAAAAATGTATGAATTACAGGACACTTAAAGAATTGTGAGTGGCTGGGTGGATGGAGTTTGTCTTATTTTAGAAATTGACTTTGACATAATTCGATCATAAGTAATAAGCTTAGTTTCTGATTCTCTAATAATTTGAAATGTAGCAACAAATCATTATTAAATGTGTGTGCTGCATTACACATGAAGCACACGGAGTCAATGGGGGTGTGTGTGTGGGGTAGGTTGATCTGTTTGTTTGCAACCTGTTTACCTCTCTCCCTACCCTCCTGCTGTACTAAGACAATGCTCTCCCTCTCTGGCAGACCACAGTGAGGTCTCACATCAGCCTTGCTCAGCACTGAATTATGCCAGCTTGAGGATGCTCCCCTTTTCCAGAAGAGCTTGGGAACCCTTCAGGGGTTAGAAGCATGTAACCACAATTTATGTACCTCCTATGTTCCCTCTATCTCCTTCTGCCTGGAGGAGAAACCTGTTTGAAAACCCTGTGTTGGACAAATCTTGAAACAGGCACCTGATTGCAGATGCATTCTTTCTTGTCAAAAGGAAACCCAGAAAACATTTGCACAGATGTGGTTGACACAGGAGGTCATGATCTCATTTCGTATGTCACTGCTTAATCTTAGCTGAGATAATTACAGACATATGGCTGTCTAAACATGAAGTCAACAGGAAGGTATCCAGCTACATGTGGTACTACAAGTAAATCAGATTTAACTGCACCAGCCAGCAGCTGAGGCTATTAGGTGGAATATCAGATGTGTCCTCACAAAATTGATCACAAAAAAAAGGAAACAAATTTACATTTATTCATTCTTTGTATGTCTTTAGGGTCTGGTACCAATATGGATGAAACTCATATTAATATATCATAATGTTCAAATAATAATCAATATGGAATACAGTGTGACTTATTTGTATGTGTATTTCAAAACACGACAGGATGAAACCTCTGTGTCCAGGAAATGGTGTAACATATTGCCTCAACCATCTGTAGTGCTGGGTTGATGTTGGCAGGTCCTGGATAACACAGAGACAATGGGGTGTGGATGATTTGTTTTACTGGCCAACAGTCAGGTCAGCACTTACCCCTTGTTCAGGCTCTGACCAGCTGCTGGCCCCAGCAGTGCAGTAGCTGTGGGTGCAGTAAAGCCCTCAAACAGAGGCTGCTCTGCAGTACCCAGAACCAGTGCAAAATGCCCCTGATGCTTTGCATTTTGTTGTGTTGATCCTAAGTATTTTGTTTTCCCAGAAGTTGTCACCTTCAGGCCACACCATTATCACGTTTCTGTGTGAGCGTTTTAACAGTGGCTCACATCTACTGCAGCACAGCTATAGTTTTGGCACTATTGCTTCTGAGCAATTGGGAAGCCCATGGGATATTGGTGCAGGATGCAGCCTTTGCAGATGGAGCTGAACCTGTTGGTTTATTCCAAGCTCAGTGGTAGTTTCCTGCACAGCCATGAACAGACACCACAAGTCACCTTATTTCTTGACTCTAAAGTAAGAGGATGGGCTCCCCCCTCCTCCCCCTTGCCGTGCTTTAAGCTGTTTGTGAGCAGGGATCTTTTTCTCCTTCCTGTGTGTAGTAAACCGAGGTTGAACCCTGGAGTGGTACATGAACTCAGATCTGAACAGGCCCCCCAAGATTCATTGCCAGGGTAACTTTTTATCGCCCTTGCGCTCATGCGTGTTCTTGTAAACTGAGATTTCAGACAAGCGAGTGAAGACATACTTCAGTTTTATTGTTGTTTAGGCATGGATAGAAACATTAATTCTTTTGCACTCTTGGTTCCTGAAACTTGCCTACAGTGAACGTGGAGCAGTGAAAAACCCAGCTCCAAGGAGTGACCATTTAAAGTGCATAGGAGATCTAGCAGAATCCCAAAAGGTGAGGAGTTGGTTTTATTCCTTTTTTTTTTTTGTAGCTGTGGAAGTTGAAGGACTCCATTTCTTCTCCTTTGCCCTGTATTCCCCTGACAGTGTTATGAAAATTTTCAGCCCTTCCCTATGCTTTCCCTTTGAAGGTTTCCCTATCTTTGGAAGTTTCCTCTCTGTATTTCTGAACTATTTGTAGTGTTATAAACAAAGACAGGTGATATTTGCACACTCCTTCACAGGACTCTGTTACAACTTTTCCTGTTTAGAGACATGCCCACTGCATTTGTTTTTTTCTTTAAAAAAATGTGTATCGCTTGGCAGTGTTCTCGCACCAAAAGAAAAAGATATATTTATATATAAAGTAATTTTTTTGTGTGTTCACGTTTTATTTGGAAAAACAGGTGTTTAAAAATTTTAGAATTTTTTTAACAAAATTCTAAAAAGAAAAAAAATCACAATATTTACAGAGATAACAGAATGGCTTAGCCATGCAAAACAAATTACTTTGGTTTTTCCCCCATTTTACTTTGGTTTAAATGTTGACCAAGATTATAATTTTTTTTCTTTTTGCCAAATAAAACAGTAACAAATTAAAGTTTAGAGGCATATAACATGACTTCCCTCTAATATTTTATACAGCATAGAGTTTATAGGACATCTTATGTATTTAATCCATGCCAATGCACTACAGGAAGCTTTTATTAAGACATCAGTCACTACTGCCCAGACATTTAACATTTTACAAATTTACAAGTAACAGTGTTTTCTTCCCCCTAAATAATGCAAAAGTGGCAAAATACATTTCCTAACGTCCATCTTTTTCTTTTATTTATTTATTTATTTATTTTTGCCTACCAGTCTATAAAAACTTACTTTTTCCCTGGATATTTGTAAATGGAAACCTGATGTTCTGCTTATTCTACTGTTCCTCTCCATCAAAGCTGCCTGTCACCTTCTTCCAGAAACTAACCTTCCACATAAGTTGAAACTTAACTCCCTTAAGTACCACTTCCTATTGGCCATTCACCCTAAAACCTTATCAAGTATCATTCTAAAAACTCCCTCAAGCAAAAAACATGTTTATAAAGTTACAAACTTGAATGTAACTAAAGATACATAGACATTTCATTGTTACAATTATATGTACTGTTTGATAAATTAGGTACCAGTTAAAAACACTAAAATTATCTCAAGGTGCATTCAATATCTGTAGCATAGTTAACAAAAACACACAAAAAATATATATATATATATTCTATTTTTGTGGGGAAAAAAATGCAGCTTTGATATGACCACTTATTAAAAAAAGTTTCCAATTCTGACTGTTATCTCTTTGAAACGAAGAAAAGGTACAGTACTTTAAGGCAGCGAATAACATAAAGGAATCAAAATTAATCCAGAATTCCAGTTCATTCTCCTAATGCTAACATGAAAGACTAACGTACCAAGAATATGTATGTCTTGCTCTAGAAGAAAAGGATTATTAGCCACTGTCTGTATGTAGGCTAAGAATTTTTCATAGTGTTCCTTGCTCAATACCCAGACTTCTTTGGGGAAATTCTTTATTCCCTTTCTGTCTTGTTTAGCTTTGCATGTTTTTTTAAATGTTCACTTTCATTAACAATTTAGTTTGTTCCTGTCACAGCTGTCACCCTTCTGCTTTACTGCGATTTCAAAGAATGAAAAAGGAGTTTGACATTTTCCTTTAAGACAATCTTACACTCTAGGTACTTGCTACAAAGCAGAGGCTTCACTGATAACAACCAGAATTAGACATGTACCTGCTCAAAGGGTGTCATAAAAACAATTGAAATAAAACCATTACACTATACATCAGATTAACGGCAACTCCCAGAACAAAGCCTTACAGTGTATAAAAATAGCTACGTAAAAAATTTACATAAAGGCAAACAAAAAGAAATCTTCAGTGCAGACATTTACAAAAAAATATTTCAAACAGAACACAACATGGTGACCTATTATCATGGCTGTAGCCAAAATTAGTTTGTGGGGTTTTGTTTTATTTTTAGCTTGAGATAATTGTGTCTAAAATCCTTTGAAAACTTGGTAGTATGATCTGCTTAATACTTGACCCATGAATAGCTGTCACTTCTTTGTATATGTTTAAATACAATCCACGTTCATGCTTCAATTGGTCTATATGTACTCTCTGAAAATATGAAAGATAAAGCCAGTTAAACATTTTAAAATATGTTAACCATCATAATTACTCAGTATCTAACCTTCAAATAAATGCTACATGAATAGTGTGTTCTTCTGCCGCTCAATGATGTGAACACTTTCCTTCACGACAAGAATAGCTGCTGCAATATTGTTTCCAGTAAATTTATCTGGCAAGTAATGGATTTATGTCTATTTCATTCATGCAGATGTACTGATCTGAAGAGTAAAAGATTGCACTGAAGGCACACAATGTTATTTGAACTCCTATGTTAAATAAATACCCACAGCTAACTTCATCTAATCACCTCAATAGCACAGTGCTGCAGAAGGTATCAGGCTCAGGAAAAAAACACAAAAGAAGCTCTAGCCAAAAAGTTTACAGAATTTTCCCACAGAATTGCAGTAGGAATGCTGAGTATTTCTGCTGTAATTTTTTCAAAATCCAAGTCTACTTGTTTTCCACGTTTAAATCATTCGTAAGATGTAATTTTAGTATTCCCAATTCCCTTTTACAAATTAGCAAAACAGTGATATTACTAGTTAAGTACCTACAGCAATGCTGCACCTTTTTACATACAATATAATTGTTCTGTATGATTCAGTGAATTTAAATATTTAGTGCAAAACTCGTGGCTTGTGCTTTAAAATTTCAGACAATACTAATATATTAAAATTATTAATGACAGTTGTATTTATTTATAAAGAAACCTTTTTACATAAATATGAAGCATCATAATTCCACCACACACTTTAAACCCTGCTCCTTCAGGATGGTATCTGATGCTATATACTACAGATCACTGAAAATCAGGGCTATCTACAGCTTTCCTGTGGAGGAACTTAAAAGCACAGCCCCACTGTACTACTACTCTCATTTTTCAGAACAGTTCATGACTAACTCAACAAACCTCTCCATGGTTAGCTGCTTTCCAGACTCTTGTGCTACCACAGTGTTTTTTACAAGGCTTAAATTGGGCAGAAAAATGGCCTAACCCCCTACTTTGTGTCCTAAGAGGAGCAGTGTATGTATGTGTGAACACCGGGTGGTGCTGTTGGTGCTCTCTAGTGCTGCTGCAATTCCCAACAGACCTTCTGCATCTACCGAATCATTTGTGTACAGTTTACTTCATACAGATCCCAGTGGGGGAAACTTTCATACCATACAGTGCCTATTTCCAGGATCGTATCGATCATAGCATAAGTATGTGAAATCTAGAGTGAAAGAACTTTTTTGTTCCAAGGGAGGTTTCAAGCCATTTGCACTAATGATGAACAAAGCTGACCAAGGATTTGGAAACTGTTGTTTTCAGTAAGGGAAGAAGGTTCCTGTAAACATTAATTCATAACCTGAAACCTTCTAAACTCTACCTAAACATACTCTTCATATGTAGACATATACACACACACAAGTGTACCACAGTGGTAGATAATATGTATTCATACTTTGATTTCCCTAAGGACATGGATTAAAAGAAAGCCAAATACTAAGTTATGTCATAATTTCTGACTTCTTTCTTTTTATATATGTGTGTGCAGCTTTGAATTCTTAATTGGCCAGGAACCTGAGTCTGTCTGTCCTAATACTACACCATTCAAACTGACCCTACTGCCTCACCTCTGTCAGGTAAGCAACACAGTCCAAGCTGCTGCTGTGGTCACCAGAAAGGAATGGTAGACAAAGAGATGTTAAATGCTACAATATGAAACACTTACCTGGAATGATGACTGACACATCTTAAGTTTCAGATTTGTGATTGTTTTCCTCTAGTTTCTTGTTTTCTTCTATATTTCCAAGATCTTTGTCTACATGTTTTGATGCTGTCCTATAATGCAAAAAGAAGGTAATTTTTGCATGGCTACAGCGTTTTGTTCCATCCTCACATAATGCCACTGCCTCCTCCCCTTGCAGTGAAACAGGAAACTCTGACAGTTCTGTTCTGAGCAGAGCAATAGGTCTGCATATGTCTGTAAATAGGCCAATGGCACCAGTTCCCCCACTGGTGTTCAGTGCCACGGGAAGTATTGCAGTAGGGCTGTGTGTGTTTGATTTACCTCTTGAGGAATTCAGAATTATTCTGAGCTAGCAGACATTTAGTAAGGTTAAACCAGTTGTGGAGATCCATGTTTCTTGACAAAGTAATTGTGTAGCTTGTTTCAATAAACAAGAGTTTGCTTTAAGGCGTACTAAAACATTACAAGGGTGGCTAAGATATCTAGATCAACACAGCAATCTTTTGTGTACTTGTAGTAAATGACTTTCAGAGCCTGTGCCAAACGGAAGCTCTTTAAATGTGAAGAAATTCATGAAAATTCTGGCAACACCGAAAAAACAAATCCCACTCTGGATTCTAGAGCTACACTAGCTATGACTGACAGGCTTTGGGTGAAGATGAGATTGTGTAAATATTTGAGGGGGTGGGGGGAAAGAGGTATGCCTCATTTAAAATAGCAGATCTTCCTTAGTTCAAGTACTGGAGATGAATTAATGAGTTAAGTGCTCAGTTTAGCTCAGCACAATAAAACCACTATGCCATTCATTTAATCTGTAAGAAGCCTCACTGTCTGCCAAGGTGAAGGATTCCTGCAGTGCTGTGATAACATTTTGAAGGCCACAATTTTTAAAATGTAAATGGGCGAATGTGTTTGAGTTGGGACAAAGTAAATCCCTTATGTCAAAGCAGATTATCCTAGAAGCATTTTCTCTACAGATAATTTGTTTCCCCTACAGGAAAGTAAGGTCCCTTGTGACAGATTCATGCATATGCTCACCCTTGCTTCAGGGTAAAGCCCCATAGTGACGCTGACTTGCAAAATACAATGAAGACACAGGTTAGCAAGATAGTGTGACATGTCACGCTGACACCATGCAGGTATGTACCTCCCAAAACTGCAGAGCTGAATTTTTGCCAGTGGAGCATTTGTGTGCACATCCTCCATCTGAGCAAAGGCCTTGAGCAGTGGCTAAGCACTGTGCATGCCCTGAGCTGAAGTACCCCTGAGCAATACTGTTAAGACAATACAGTTTGGTCCTTGTCTCTGAAGAGTTTCTGATGAGGTGCAAACACACCTAACCACCAGCACCTCTGGAAGTGCTGCTGATATGCTACTCTGGGCTGGGGAGCAGCACTTGAGGTGGAGTGCTGGGGGATCCCAAATGCCACAGACTACACTGAATGGGACCATTCTAAAACCTATTCGGTTTCAAAGGAGGCTCTTTCCTGAGTGGCTGTTAAGTTTTAATGGTTCAAAGCTGCTTTGACCTTTCCCTATTGCTTTTAGAGCGACTCTGTTTCGTTTGTGCAACTGACAGGAATGTGTCAGTGCTGAAAACCCACTTATTACAAAGATCTGAACTCCTCTTTACTGCAGGCAAATTTAATTTTAAAAGTGCTGAGATAGATAGCATTAAAAAGTTACTCGCTCTACAGTGCTAAGTTTCTATTCTGCAATAACATTCTACTTTTTTCTGCTACTCAAAACCTGAAACATGTGACATGCATAGAAGAAAAGGATGTGAGATGCAATGAAGAAGAAAATTCAGTGCTTTGGTAGAGACTGGTCTTCTGTGATCTTAATACCCTTTCACAAATCTCTTTAATCCTAGCAAAAAAAAAAAGAAAAATCACTCAAAAAATTTCCTTTGAAAATGAGAAAAGTGAGAAAAATCACTCAAAAATTTCCTTTGAAAATGAGAAAAGTTTTAAATTCGAATTTAAAAAACGCTTGGTTTATGTTGGGCACGTAATTTGGCTTGTCATGTGGCTAATGAGTCTTTTCCATAAATATCTCACAAAACTGGGGACAATACAGAAAGAGATGAAAAGCTGAAAGGATCTGGACTCAGGCAATTACCTGAGCTGAAATGAGTTGGAGGCAGGAAAGCAGTATCATGCACGTCTGTCCTCATGTAACCGCTTATGTCTGCTCTTGGAGACTGGATAGATACTGGCATGGCTCAGTGTGATCCTTTTTTCTGGCCTCTTATCAAAAGTTTTACAGTGCCCAAAGCAGACTGAATCTCATATGACCTGACACTTAACAGCAGAGGGAACTGCAACCAGCATTACTCGTCTTTGATTAAAATTATTCAATGACTCAAGCAAGGGGATTCTGCAACGCGATCAGGTTTTGATTTTTAAAGTGCTCCACTTCAGTTCTGCATTCAATGAAACTAAATGTCACCTCTATTTTCCTAACGCCGCAATGGGTGAAAATGGGAGCCTTAAAGGGTAGAATTGTGACTTTGACAGAGGCAACCCAAAAGAGAGAACTCCTTTGGAGGATGTTATAAACCACTTGCTTGAAATGAGAGCAGCAGCAGTTTTTCATGTCTAACAATCAGATGGATTTCAGTTCTCAGTGCCTGAGACTGAAATGCAGCCGTTTATTTATGATGGTTTGGTGGTCTTGCTGACCTTTTTTTGTTGTTGTTGTTGTTTTGTTGTTCCCCAAATACTGATACCGAGGCAGATTCACCACCTCAGCACAAACAATACTGCTGCCTTTTTTAGTGCTATTTAAATAGTGTCATTAAGAGACACAAGAGTAATTTTGCACTGAGTTGCAGCAGCATGATCCACTGGCAGTTCTCTGCCAACAGCAGAGGAACAGCCAACCCTGGCCTGGCACCAATCCTCAGGGCTCCACAGACGTGGCTTGGGTTTATAACAGAAATGTCTCAAAACATGGTTTCCATCGCTTCCTGAGGTGACTTGAGGCACAGGACAAATGGTCCTTTGCCAGTTTTAACATTCAACAACAGTTGTGCCTAACTTTTTTTGTGCATTAACTCCTGTCAGTTTGCTCCCTTTGCAACTCAGGAGTGAGTTCCTGATGATATCTGAGCAGCTTCCCCCAAAAAGGGAAGACAGCCCACTTTGCCCAGGCCTGGAGAACTCTAACACACTGTAACTATCTGCAACCCCACAAATGAAGCCCACACCTTCGTGTGCTCTGGCCAAGTTGTTCTGAAGAGTGAGAAGTTGGTTGTATGAGTTTACTTACTCTTTTTTAAAAAAATAATTTGTAAAACATGGATCATTCTGAGCTTGTGCTAAAATTATGACTCATACTTACATCTATCTATGCTTGCTCTTCAGGAAAGTAATTAACCTCAGGGAATCCTCATCAAAATCTCTCTGCAAGTAATACCAAAGTGAGGTTTCTAGCTTTTTTTTGGTGTGTGTGGGTGCGTGTGTGTGTGTGTGTGCTGAGGAGCCGCTACTTTCATGGATTTTATCTGGATACTGTTCATAGCATTGTTTGTAATATAAAGACCATTTTTGCTTTGCCTGCTGTAGTGTAAATACAGACTGCATATAGGTGACCCAAAAATTGTTGTCAACACTGTTTAAGGAAGAAAGAAAGTGCTGTTTGTCCCTGTTACCCAAGCCTGTGATAATGACAGGTAAGAGGATACACACTGGTGTAGTTCTGGGTGCTGAAGCATGGGCCACGAATTTCGTTAAAGATTGCATCACTTTTGAAAGGCATGTTAAGACACTCAACTGCACTGTTGCAAAAGATTTTTTTAGGAGCTAAGGGTCTTATACAGCCAGATCTGGGCTACCTGCAACCTCCTTCTATTAACCCCAACCTTGCCTTCCACTTCCTCCAATTATTTTCAAATGTCCACTAGATTTCAGAAAAATATTCCAGCCATCAAGAAATCAGTGACCATTTTTTAATTTGTACCACTTCTATAGAAGATTTGTGTCATGAACTGACACTTTCAAAGATGTTTGTAACTATGTCTTTTGTTTGGAAGGGAACTGCACAAAAACCAATACACAAATGCTGTCTGGTCCAAAACATACAGTGAGTTTCCTACATATTTAGCCTGCCATGTTTGGATTCATAGGTTAGTTTCCTATAAAGTATCAGAAAAGCAGAATTGTTGTGCTTTGAGTGTTCAGCTTCAGAGATACTAGTAACATTTTTGATTACTGTGACCTAAGAAGCATTTCAAGAGTTTGGTGTGCTCTTGGTTAAGAAGTTAAGACTGCTGCTGTACTTCAGTTTGCCCAGCTGAAGTTTCCTTTACTGGATTTTAAATCACTTTAAGCTTGATCTAGCCACCTCTGACTTGAGATTCGTGCATCTCCAAACCCCAGGAGCAAAAATGGGGTAAAGGTCCAATCTACATGCAGAACTTCCATGGCTAGAGAGCAGGGTATAGGCTGCTGAGTGCACTATTTCCTTTATAAATCTTTAACTTCTGCTGTACCCTCAGCAGCTTTTGGAAAGGTGAAAATTTCACATACGAAGGGTTTACTGAACATGGGTGTCCTAGAATCACTCAACTGAGGTCTGACACAAAAATTTTTGAAAGATTATGAAGTGCTAAGTTATATTCTGTTCAGTGCAGGATAGTTTATAATATCCTTTCTGGAATAAGAAAAAATCTGTAGAGAACAAGTGTTTGGCCTTCTGCTCAGATGAAGGAGAAACAAGGCATGCTGGGGTAGGTACCCCCAACTCTTTATTCAAGAGGGGGCTAGTTACAGGATATGGAATGCAAATGAGTCCCTGATTTACAGGATAATATTCATACTGAAAAGAGTATGTGGCAATAATCAGCTTTCCCATCAAGTGCAGCTGAGGCAATGAATAACTGTACACATGATTTATTGTGAACATATTCCAAGGCTGCAAGTATAATTCCTACTTAGTGGGGATGACAAGACAATAAAAGATTATACAAACCACAACACCAATAACAAAAAAAAGTAATGTTTTTCTTGCCTCTGCAGACTTGGAAAGTTCTGTGCTGCTGCCTTCTCAGACTTTCCTTTGGCGTCACTTTGGGGATAGAGATTAGGTGAGTTACTGTTCAAGGGTGGGTTCGAAAAATAACTACTAACTGCTGGCCTGTATGGAGATGGAGGGGTTGTGACTAGACATAGGCTGTGTCTAGAGGTGTAAGGTGCTTTTTGCAAGGCCTACTTTGATTTCTAGGCTGTAATTGATAATGAAAGCTTTGTCAGAATAGGTACTGACACTCTGCTTGCTCTTGCAAGTATGGTGTGCAAAAAGCAGGGAGCATAACAACAGATCAACTTAAATATATACTGAGAACAGGAGATTGTCAATGATGATGTATCAATTAAGGTTCTTAGAGGCCAGCAACCATGTACCAAAGCTGGAGACTATTATTTAGCTATAAAGGTATTTATGTTTCCAGTGAACCTGTCTAATCAATCCCAGGTCTAATTTTTCCTCTGAGTTTGAGGAAGAGATGTTGAGCATGAGGTAAAGAAGTGTCCATTTAGAACATGCTGTATCCTATCTTTGAAGCAGAAAAAGTTACTTTAATTCATAAACTCATCTCATGCTATATTCTACAAATCTTGTTAGCTCTCCTCACACTACATAATGGTACAAGAAAAGATACTTTAGCTTCTCTGCCCTCCTTATACCCCAAACCAGTGAAGCATCATTAGATGATTACACATGCACATATTCAAAAAGGAATGACTAAAGAAAAGTTATTCTAGACAATATTACAGCAGAAGCAAAGTGTGGGAGGGGGAGCACTATGTTATTATTACTTTTTAATTTTTACCAAAAGAAGCATAAGCTTTGCAAAAAAAGGAATTAAAATTATCTGTATAATACCTGAGTGTGGTTCTGTGCTTGGGCAATTTAGAACAATTCTGTAGCTGTAAAACTTCCAAAACCTGAACAGTTATGGCTGAAGTAAAATCCTTATGTATTATCCAAAAAACCCCTGAGTGTTCTTAAGCAAGTGGAGAATTCCTTGTTGTACTTTCACATGAATGAAAACACATTTGTTCATAGTAAAATCCCACTGGTATATTTTAGATCTCATTTGATCTAATTTTAATGGAAGGTCAGAGAAAGAACAATTGAACTTTAAGACTGCTTTTACACCTGTACTGATTTGTGCATGTAATGCATAACTACCTTCATCTCCACTGCTGAGAAGCAGCTATAAGAAACTCTTCAGAAAGCAAACCTGCCCTCAGTTCTCCCTGGAGACAAATATATAGGAATAAGGCCAAATGGCATACAGTCATGGCCCGCTTCAAAAGGATGGAGAAACATGGTCACTTCTTGAGATCATCCAATTTATTTTCTGAAGTGAGCCTGTGTGATAATGAAGAAACTTGAAAGCAAGCAGGCTGCACTGGCAAATCCTCTTCTATGCCCAGGATGGCTAAAACCTATCGATTTGGATTATAGCTTCTAGAGTTGTCAGCAACACAAACTCTATCTTCAGCAATTTTACTTCAGATATCTAAAGTATATATGAACAAAACAAGTAAGGATCTCTCTTCTCCCTAAGATGGGCTAGTAGTTTTCTGTAATTTAGTCCATTTTTAAAGCAAACAAGCCAGCCAACTTCAAATGAAGACAGTTTCTAGCACCAGTAAAGCCACACAGACTTCCACACATTAAGTTTCATAATGAAGTAGTAGGTACTATATTTAATATGAGTCAGCATCAACTTGGCTGACAGGAAAGAGAACCTCATTACAGCTACGATCTATAAAAATCTTAGAACCTCACCTCTAAGAGATGAGTCCTGTTAAGCATTAGGACAAAGCCAGTAACAGGTACCAAGTTTCCTTTTTCTATCAAATGTACCTACTATAACAGCCTCTCCCCACTCAGACTACTGGAATGCTGCAGGAAGGAAAATAGGTAAACATACATCTCTGCTTATAATTATTTTTCTTCCAATTTATTATTAAGTTTTCTATAAAATTCTTACTTTGATTTCTTCACATAGAGCCAGTAGACAACACCTGCAACCAGAGCAACCAGCAGAAGACCGACCACAATCCCCACTATTAGCTTTGCCTGGTCATTAACCTTTTCGCTATTGTCATCTGAAGCAAAGAAGAAAAGTTAATGAGATGACCTATGATAAAATAAAGCATTACACCATTTCTAAAGAATTTTCATCAGACACAAGAAAGGGGGTCAGAAAGTCAAAATAATAATAATAAAAAAGTAGGAACTGTTCTTTAAATGTGCTTTTAAGCTTCAAGAAAGTCACATCTTAGTCAATCATGGCACCAGCTATTTCAAATCAAGTCCAGCTTTAAGGGACTGTGGAAATTGTGCAGTGACATATATAGGTCATGAACTGAGACAATCAAAAGAAAGGGTCACAGAGATAGAAAACCATACATACCATTTCTATCCTCGGGCTCATCATATTCTGGAATACTTACTGAAATGAAAAATGTTCAAATTAAATTAAAACCAGAAAGTATTAGACCTGAACATTACCTTTAATTGCTTATTTACAACAATGACAGAAACTGAAACTTAATGCAATGTTTGCCAACAAGGTAATTAATTTCATCTTTAAACAGAAGTCTTTCTTTTGTAACTATAATATATCCAGATGAAGAATCTTACTCAAAACTTAAATTTTCTGACTGGATATTTCTGTGCTACCCTTCCACAAACTGTTTCTTCTCACTACCTTTGATCATTCAAAAGTGACATCTGATTAAAGCCCAGTATAGCTGATTTCAGTTCTGAGTCAAGTCATATCAGTAGTAGTGGAATTTGGGGACTAAAAGGTGAAATAAAGACTTCTGTCTCGTAAATAAAGGATTATTTTGCAATATTTTTGTACTATTATGTTGCAATACTATTAATATTGTTTACTTTTGCAAATAATACATTGCATATGTGAGAGAGCTAGCCAAGAAATTCATGAAGACTAAGTGACTTCATCTAGAAAACTATCAATAAATTTTATGTACTACTGATCCAGAGTGGATTTACAATTGCTTGACTTAAGACAAAAAGGTTAAATATCTCAGTATCAACATTACTATGCAGACCTACTCTTCATTTGAGTGTGAAGTATGGGTACTTTATGAGAAACTGTAACTTTTAGGAAATGATCTTTAGAGGACACTCACTTGCAGAGACATTCAAGGAGGTCACAGTCCTTTCTAGCTCATTTTCTGCAATGCAAGTTAAGGTCACATTTTCTTCAGGAGCAATTACAATTTTACTGGAAAATCTCCCATTAACATATTTTGTCTCCTCTGTCTGAAAAGGTAAAAAATGAAGATCAGTATCCTTTGAAAACTCAAAGAACAATACACACATTACCTGTACTACACATTGAAAAAGTTCAGAGAGGAATAAGTAATATTTCAGCTTTCCGAACAACAGCAATAGAAATACTGCATTATTTTAGTAAATGATAATGTGAATATTCAAAAGAAAACACTTTGGCCAAGATCTCTAGTTTGCGTGCACTGTAAGACCAATGACAAAGAGGTACTTCTGTGAGAAAGTTAACCACATTCTGTCTTTGCTTTTCTTTGAACTATGTAAAAAATACCCCGAGTGACAAAATTCTTACAGAAAACCCCAAACTTCTAAGGTATCATTGCTCTTTGTCATTTATGTCTTTATAAAGAAAAATATCACTCTAACTTTTCCACTTTCCATCTTTCAAAGTTGTTTCCACACTAAGCATTACTTTGCCAAGCTACATATATTTAGTAGCACCTGCAGTATCTGTGCTGTAATAGTGATGAGTTCCTTAAATTTGCTGTACATCATTCTTGGATTAATGCAACATCCAGAGAAAATTATTTTCCATCATTTATATAGCTTCAAGATAATTCCTGCCCTATAGTTTCAAGTAAATGGATACATTTTGACAGCTACACATAATTTCTGTAGCCTTTAAGCAAAGCCTAATGGAGTAATGAAATCTACAGGAGTACTATGCATTGTACTTCCAGTCACTGACTGGATAGAGGCCTCATTTATCTTTCCTGCTAAGGCAAAATGTGGCAATGCTTTGCATGGGATTTCTTAATCAATATCAAAATACTTAAGTTTGCTTATTTTCCAGGTATTTTTTTCTTCTACATATGGGTACTTCTTATTTATCCCTCAGGATGAATGCATATGGTTCTGTTTTCAGTGCAAAACAACAGGTATAACCATAAAAAAAACCCAACTATAAAAATTAGGATAAAAGCTGCAGAGCTCATAAGGAACTATCTGAGTGCAATTTCTGACTCACACGTGCCACATTTCATTACATTTCACCCAGTTAATGCCTACATCAAGTACCGATTTGCTTTCAAATGTAAGTTCTATAGTTCCATCATTATTTGTAAATTCTTTATGCAATGGCAAAATCAGCACATTACCCAGATAAAACGACTAAGTACCTTCACTTAAGAAACACATATTTCATTTGTAACCTTTTCTTTTTCCTTCCAGCTTTGGATTGTAGCCAATGGATCTGCTTTGCCTTCACCTGCTCTATTCAAACAACTTTTACCATAAAAAAATCATCCATGTAAGTACCATGTAGCTAAAGCTACCACTTAACCTTCTCTTAGATAAATGAAAAAGACTTATTTTCTTCCATCTCACTATCTGAAAAATGTTCCTTGATTTCAATTTGCTCTTCCTATGCATTATCTTTTGGTGAATAAAGTAATAAGAAAGATACTTGCTTTATTTATGATGCTTCCACTGCCAGTGACTGTCCATTGCACTGCTGGTTTGGGGAAACCTTCCACATGGCAGATAATTGTTTTAGACATTTTATTTGTGTTGGTTTTCTTTGTCATTTTGATTTGAGGTTTTCCTACAAGAACAATATTACAGTTAATAATTTATATTTAAAAAGAACAATTAAGAATCATAGCTATCTGCTCCTTTACCTTCCACAATTAGTTTAAGTGTCTGTCTTTTCCTTAATCCTTCGACCTCCTGTAGAGTAGTTTCACAGACGTAGTTCCCAGCATCTTGATACTGAAGACTTGAAAATGATGGACTTGTTTGCATCCTGGTGTTGTCCTGATAAAGTAAGGAGTTAAAAGTCATAGAAATTACCTCACAATTCATTAACCCCTAAATTACAAAAGTGACTACTATCAACAGAATTTTTCACATGCTTTGGGAAATTAGAGCCTTACTCTTAAGGTATTCCCCATTAATAACTACATTTGAATGTATTACATGAAAAGTGGAAACTACTGGAGATTTATGTAAGTCACCTCCTTTCTTCTTGAACAACACTGCTTTCAAATCAAGGGCATGGATGGGATCAGTTATTAGCTCTGAGCTTTTCTAGCAGGTTAGCCAAAACCACTAGTGGTACAAACTGTTTCAGACACAAATAACTCTCCTCTAGGCCAAGCCTATGAGATGAACATGTGCCCATAAACAACTATTAGGAATCATTTTAAGTGTCCAACACTACAGGTTTGATTTAAAGCCATCTTCTACAATAGCTACCGTTTCTTACCAGCCACTGAACACCAGCTGCTAACATCCAATCTCTCAACCTGCCTTGGTCTTTTAATTGTGTTTACTGGAACCAAGACCAAGCTTGCCTCTGAGGAAACAATGCACCAAAATTCCTCCCAATGGGCTTTCATTCTTAGGGGAACTTGATTCTCAAAGGGCCTTGTATAGACCATTTCAAAACAGTTATATTTGAGTTACAGTATGTATTACTTCTCTCCATTTGAAAACTGATAATTACAGCAACCGATTTTCAGTCATCAGTGTGACTGAGTAGCTCTCATTGTAGCTGTATGTGTAAGACCCATTTAAAAAATATTCTTTAAAAAGCCCAAGGAATGACTTCCTTCCTTCCTTCCAAAATAGTGAAGTAGCAGCAGTAATATGATGAGGTGAGCACTCAGATGAAGTGTGAAGTAGATGAACGACTGACCTTTATCCAAAACACAGTTGCATTTCTACTAGAAGAAATCGTGCATGACACAGGCAGGGCCTCTCCAATCTGTTTTTTGACTTCTCCACTAGGAGTAAGCTGCAAATCCAAATCTGGGATAGAAAGAACATTTGTCGAAAGTTAATCTCGGAAAGCCGGCCCCATTTCAAAGGCTTACCAAGAAAAGAAAATGTGACTAATTGCACTCATTAAATTCAAGATTTCATTCCTTCAATAAAATCTAAGTCAATTTTACAAGTAAGGGAGATGAGAGAATTATTCTAAAATAGGCATTGCAGAACACTCACATTTTTGCTGTAATTATAGGCTAAAAGGAAAAGCAAAACCTCACTAATCACTAGACAAATGGATACTTTTTTTTTCACCTTGTACTGCTGAAAGAGTAACAGAGTAGGAATAAGAAGCTGAAGAAATACTTCACATAGCAGTATGTGCATCTTGAAAGGGGAAGCACAGACTGCTGTGAGGGTAGCCTGCTATGGACCAGGTAGAAATGCATCTTCAGGGCAGAAGTCATGCAGGTGGGAACACATTAACCTAAACAGTAAGTGTGGAGAAAAAGACAGGAGGACAAGGGGTAATTTTCTTGAATCTGATAAAACAAGATGGTTTTCATCCTTGGCATCTGGAAGGGACGAAGACGTTCAAACAGAGGGTGCATCAAACACGATACTGACTGAAGGGGTGAGAAGTCTGAATTACAGGGTTGGGGGACTGCACATGAGGCCCTCTGATTTAGTTGTTCTCATTTCTAACTTAAAATGCCGTGTTGTGTAACTCAAAAGAGTCCAGCCCTGCCTGACATGTTTAAGTTCCAGGGAAATTGTAGTCAGTGACAGCTGTGTTTGACACAACGAAGGGTGAGATCAAGTAAGAGAAATATCAGGAAACTGCTCTAGATTTCTCTTAGTATAAGGATTTGGTGGGCTGGTCATTTCTTCTTTTTTTTTTTAAATTAAACTAAAATCCTACACTGAAAGAAAAGCAGAGTTTGCCAAGTTAAACCTCTGTTTTGCTTCCTCTCTCACAGTGCCTTGCTTGAAAGCCAAGTTGCCTGGTTGAATGACTATCACAGATAAGTGCAGGCACACACACATGCACACACACATACACACACACATATATATGCAATCTCAAATGCACACGTGACTTCATCACGAATAGAGTACCAGCTGGAAAAGGACTGCAAAACATCCTTTTGGCTTTTAAGCAGAGTTTAAATAAAGCCTGCAACAAAATCTCAGTTGGTAGAGGAAAATAGAGTACTAGCTGGAAAAGGACTGCAAAGTATCCTTATGGCTTTTAAGCAGAGTTTAAATAAAGACTGCAACAAAATCTCAGTTGGTAGAGGAAAGGGAGTTTTCCTTAACAAAACAGTGAACTTTGCTACTGGCTTCATTCAGTGGTTGCCCTGGGAACACCGCTGTAATTAAAGGTAGAACTTCACAGAACAACTGGTGTTCATCCTGTACTACTTGTCTGCATTATTATCTGTGTTATGAGCCTAATGCCTAGTCCGAAAGGTCACAAGAACTGTACTTTCATCTGTGAATGAGTAAAGCAAAGATCTTGACAAAGAGATAAAATGGCATCTTGTTTCTGTATTCCTACAACGATTTTTCCTCCTGCCTCTTCAAACTAATAAATGCAACCAAACTAACAACATTCTCCAGATTTCACTGTTGCTTCCAGAAGAAAAAAAAAAAGAAATAAAAAGACAAGACTCAGCCAGTGACTAGTATAGAGATTTTGATGCTGTATGGGATGTGTTTCTTCTTGCTCTGTTACTCTTAAGCACATACTACCAAGGAACAGGGGTGGTTGAAGAAAAAGCTAAGATTTCCCTCTCCCCAACCCCATCTCCTTCCAGGGGAATTGCCTTCACATTCTACTTAAACCTTTTGTTCTTTGAAGCAAGATAGCACCTCAAACCCAGGAGATCACCAAAGCCCATGCAGGAGGGATTCCTCTCACACACACACCACAGGAAAGTTTTTGCCTTCATCTCAGGGAAGACTGACACTGAGCCCAGAGCGATTCTTCAGCCCAGTCTTCCTCCAGGGTAGTGTGCCTGTGCACCCCCAGCCCCTTTTTGTGGTATATGTGAGACTAAAATCCCTCTCACACCATGGTCTTGGTTGCTACAGAAGTTCAGGGAAATTTACAGTGTATGAGATGAACTGCATAGCTCAGAGCAGTATTTGTAAGGTGATTTATGAGGCAAATACAGAATTAAGCTACCATTTAACGTAGGATCCCCTCTAGGAACTCTACGTAAGCAATCTGATTTGGATTAATATTCGACCAGTTTATCTGTAAGGTCAGCAAAAGAATGTGATGTAGATACTTCTACCTCTCTACTTATATGCTCCATTAGTAAATAATCTCAGAAGTATGAGGAGAAAATATTTCTTGCATACAGAAGACTGTCAAATTTTCCTTTCCATTGAAAGAAGAACTTTTATGCAAGAATTTTCCATATATTTCTTATTTGGCTTTGAAATGATCTTCAGAAACAAGCTTCACATCAGGCACCATTTTCAATATATGCTAGCTGTTAATGTGGTCTCACTTGAAGTCTTGCATTGATTTCAGTGCTGCCTTTGCATACCAAGTAGTACAGGAAAGAGACAAATAGAGCATTCTGCATGTATTACCGCATCATGTGAGAGAGGTATGGAATTAAAGTGGGGAAGACTGGAGCACACATTTCAGTTCTGAAACGCTGTGGCACATATAGGACAGACTCCCAGCATTTAAAGGAGGTTTTCGATTGGAATACTGTGCTACAGCTGGGAAAACTATGCACAGCACTTGCCTGTGGTCTGAACTCCATAAATATACTAGCAGACCACCAGAAACTTCTCCTAGGATATTGAGAATAGATATTTTTCCAAGCAACATGCAAAAGGTGATTTTGCCTGTATTTTCAATGAGTCTGTTGAGAGAAGAAACAAGACAAGAAAAGGCTATAAAAAAAGACCTATGGAGAAACACAAATGCCAGATTTCTAAACCCTTTAATTTACTGGAAGGTTTGCAAAACTATTCACCCCAAAAATCCATTTGAGCAGAAAGGAAAGCATCCCCAGACCTACTTACCCCATACTGAGGTTTGTGTGCAGAAACAATTATAGAATCCTAGGATGGTTTGGGCTGGAAGGGACCTAAATGATCATCTACTTTCAACAACACTGCCATGGTCAGGGACACCAACACTAAACCAAGTTGCTCAAAGCCCCATAGCAATAGATAAAGAAAATAGACTGTGGGTCTAAAGAATCACCTGCTTCTTTATTGATGAGGGAGGCTACACCTCTCTATTGCTAGGTGCTTTCCTTGCCTCACAGGCTGTGCTTCAATATCTGTGTGAGTGGTTGTAAACAGCTTTTGCCCTCTGCCAGTTTTGCTTATCTGATCCTAGGCAAACTCACTCAAGGAACAGAGCTGGCAGAAAATTAACAACCTAGTGTAAAAAAACCCAAACCCACAACATAAATTCTGCTGCTCCCTCTGTTGAAGGACGAATCACACGAACCACAAGCACTCAGTCCTGCTGGATGTTAAACTGGGACCTGGCTGTGCAAATCCTGCTCTGAGGGGCAAGAGCTCAGGCTGTCCAGTTTGTCCCTTATGTCCTGTGGGTAAGGTAGAGAATCTTTATTCCTCCCACTTCATAAATAGTTTCCCTAAACATTATGGCTAACTCAGATGCTTTAATGTCAATTTTCAGCTTTCTCTGAGTATCATAATTTACATTCACCTTACCAAAAAAAGAGCTCAGCATTAAGCCAGAATATTTTCCTACAAAAATATTTGAGGGCCATGGACAGGATAATATTTTCCATACCAGTACTAAGCTTTCCCT